TACCTTTCCCTCTTAAGTCTAATAGTACTTATTGGTACAATAATTTGTACCATCTTATGGCTTGTAGCACTCAAAGTTTGAGTATAATTTTTGCCTCTTAAGTTAGCCTATCAGCATAATTGAAACCTCTAGTTTTAATAAACACTTGATATAAATTGAATGAAAGCTTTTATGTAGCAGTGGGGTATGCCCAAGATGAATGACTTTTACATTCTAAAACAGAGTTTGGGGTTACAAAAAATATCTTAGACTGTAGGAGGAAACATTGTTACTGTTTTTAAGTCCAATACCTTTTCTCAAATAGAAGGTTTTTACAAATTCTAAAGAGAACTGAAGATTTTAATCAGAGTTAGTAGGGTTTTACCCTACCAGAATACATTGTTTTTCAATGCCTTGACCTTTGCTGATTGCTTTGGCCTGAATGTACAGTAACACATTTGAGAAGAGAATTGTATCTTAGCCATAACGTAAACAGTGTAAGTAATTACAGCCATGCTGAGTAAGATTTGCAAATGGTAATAAGTTCACTTGAGTCATTGGTTTGAACTAAACTAGATGGAGATAGTCCAGGAAAACATTTACTGCAAATGGTAAATTAAATGTACTGTCTGATTAATTACATTTGATCTCTATGAATTACTTAATCATTCAAGCACATTGTTTATTTGTATTATTAGATGTGCATTTAGGTTACATAAGTATTGGATTTATGTTACATAAGTATTGTATGGCTTTAGTAATTAATATTATTTTATCAGTTCCTGTTTTCCTTCTCTGTACCAACAGTGAGCCGTAAACGCACTATTTACATATGTGCTTTTCTTTTAAGTAACCAAGACTTCTAACAGTAATTGATTCTAAAGAAAGTGTGTGGGTGACTAGATTTAGTTTGCAAAAAGCTTCCCATTTGGTTTTGATTAACACTCATCTCCCTTCCTCTTACGTTGTAGGAAACCAAGGATATAATGTATGGTATTAATATCTGTACCAATGACTTTTACAGGTGGAACAATCCAAAGTTTTAATCAAAGAAGGTGGTGTTCAGTTGCTGCTCACAATAGTTGATACCCCAGGATTTGGAGATGCAGTGGATAATAGTAATTGGTAAGAAGGGTTTGTTACTGCTGCTTTCCACTGCATTTGGGGATGGGGGTGGTTAGACTTTTTTACCTTAACATTTTAAAACTTCTCATCTTAGCGAAGGTCACTGAACTTTATGTAATATGACTTGGGTTCATATATCAACTTTGCCACTTGTCATGTTGCTTAACTTCTTTGAATTGATTTCCTCTTTTATAAAATGAAGATAACACCTTTCATAGAAGTATTTTGAAGACAGATTCTAAAACATAGTTAAAAGAATTCTCATTATTATAAGAAACTTGAAACTTTTCATTCTTTACTATAATTTTATCCATTTTCTATCACATCCTAATTTAAACCTGATTTTAGACCTTCAGTTTTTCCATAAGTTATAAGTGAAGAAAACACCCATGGCTTTCTAATTGGAAACAATATCTTAGTAGCTTATAAAAAATATTTTAATTTTTCTTTGAGTTCCACACTGTTTTTTTGTTTTGCTTTTATTTATTTGGCTGCGTCGGGTCTTTGTTGTGGCATGCGGGATCTTCGTTGTGGCATGTAGGCTTCTCTCTAGTTGCGGCAAGCAGGCTCCAGAGTGCGCAGGCTTAGTTGCCCCACGGCATGTGAGATCTTAGTTCCCCGACCAGGGATCGAACCTACTTCCCCTGCATTGGAAGGCGGATTCTTAACCACTGGACCACCAGGGAAGTCCCAAGTTCCACATTGTTTTTTGAAATAAATTTCTGTCAAACTTTTGAAACACCTAAGTAACAGTTCATTATGAGGTTTCTGTATTGTTTAATCTTTTCATTTGAAATATAAAACTCTTTGAATATAATTTTTCATATTGTAAAATGTCTTAGCATTGATATACTTATTAATGCAAATAATATGATAATTTAGTTGTGTGTGACTCTAAACAGTTTTCTTCTGTTTGGAAAGTTTAGAAATAATGAATCAAGATTTATTCAACATAATTTATATGTTTTTAAATCAGTATATGTAGAATAATTTGAGATGTCTTCCATTGGTTACATAGGTTTTGTGTATTTAAAAATATTGATTATTGCCCTTTAACAGAGTCATCAGTTGTATGTTCATATGTAGAATTACAACTTAATTTATTTATCTGCATTCTACAGCTGGCAGCCTGTTATCGACTACATTGATAGTAAGTTTGAGGACTACCTAAATGCAGAATCTAGAGTGAACAGACGTCAGATGCCTGATAACAGAGTGCAGTGTTGTTTATATTTCATTGCTCCTTCAGGACATGGGTCAGTACCTTGATGCTTCTGATAACCTTTTTTGTTGTTGTTTTATTATTACTCATCTTTCGGTGCATATTTTAGTAACCCTCATCTCTGTGGAGTACATTTAACTTTACCAGTTGTAAAGTTCCAAATTCCATATAAAAATGGCTTATAGGAAGCCTTTTTTTAAGTGCTAGACAAACTAACAATGATTTTACTTCTTGGTTTGTCATGCATAAGACTTTACCTGCTTCATGGAAAGGAATATTGTTTCCATCATGTTTGGTGTCTCAGTGTGGCTAATTTAGCTTTCTCTTTGACCAATCTGCCACTAATTGAACGATCAAATAAGGAGAAACAGCCATAAAAATTAGCTAGACATATTCTAAGAAACTCCAAAGATGTTATTTACTATAGATCTGGTAGAGAAGGCTGCAAAAAACCCTTAAATACCAAGGTTCTCATGTGCCATTTCTTTCTTCACTAAATCTACCTGTCTTCTTGTTTCACCTTAGCTGTCACAGTCAAATTGTTTAAGTATCATATCATCAGTACTAACCTTCTACTTATTAGGAGTTAAAATTAAGATCTGAGTATCTAGACATTTATCTGATCTGATTGTTCTGTTAGTATGGCCAGCCTATAATCCTTGTTTTGTTGTTTGTATTTCTTTGTCATTTTGAGTAGATATGTGGGTCATTGTCAACTGCAGATGTTCGTAATTACTCTTCTTTCATCTTTGGATAAATGACTCAGCATAACTCAGCCACCTGATGATTGTAACTCCACCATCTCTCCACCAGAAGGAACTGGACTGTTTTATAGCATCAGACTAAATAGTATTAAGTCATCTAACACCCAAATTACAGTAGTGTAAACCAGTTCCTTCAAAAGAGTACCTTTCTCTTCTGTTTTTTGCTTTTTTCTTCACCTTTTGCCTAGATAGGCTAGTGCCCATTATCACCATCTTGGTTGAGCAGAAAGCCTTAATTATTTAGATTACCATTTTTGCACTATCTGACTGTAGTGGTGCAAATGTTTCTTCTTTTATTTCTAATATTATTCTACAGTATTCTCAGAAATTTACATATTTAAAGCACAAAATTGACTCATCTACTTAAAAGACTCAAAAAAAAAATTCTCAGAAATACCACACTGTATAGCTTTTTCTGTGTCCTTGTTAGCATCTTCCTGAATTTATATATATACATATTTTATCATTCTAGTTTAACTTGTTAGGGCTTTTTCCTGGAAGCCAATGGGGTAAAATCTTAACCTGCAGTTAAGTCAATAGAAATTTGTCAGTTTATATCCAGTTTTATTATTTTAGATCTTTTGGACTCTCACCAAGATTTGGTAATTCTCATGAAATCACATTTCTCTTATTCCCTGTGGGAAAATATATTTCTTAAAATTGCATGGGAAATACGATTTTTTTATTTAAAGAAAAAATTTTGAAATTATGTGTAGTGGCTTTGGGCCATTTCTTGTTTGTCACAAGGGATGAGAGTTCCAAATTTTAATTTCTTATGTATAAAAATGTGATTTTGAGTAGTTTCTTAGCTTAACTATTTTTAGAAATGGAGCAAAGTTTTGCCCATTGGTATGTGCTGCTATGGATTAAGTGAAAGAATATGACACTGAATTTTCCGTAGAGAGTTCCAAATTCCCTGCTCACTACATAGTGAAATTCCAGGCAACATAATAGATGAATTAGGACCTTTCTGTCTTATCTGGGTAATCCCTGGATTCCCTTTTTAAACGTACTGTTTTTGGAGTAAATATAAATTGGTGCAACAGCATATTTTCAGTGTCCCCCATCTCACCCCACCAATTGTAGTCACTGAACAAAGGGTTAATTTATGATTTCAGCTGTTGTTGCTTCATTTTCTTTGTTCAGTGATTGGTAACTGACTTGGAACTTGAATTTTGTTTTGTTTTGTTTTGTTTTTAATTTATTTGGTTGTACCAGGTCTTAGCTACTTAGCTGCGGCTCGCCAGCTCCTTAGTTGCAGCTTGCCGGCTCCTCAGTTGTGGCTTGCCAGCTCCTTAGTTGCAGCATGTGAACTCTTAGTTGCGACAGGCATGTGGGATCTAGTTCCCTGACCAGGGATCGAACCTGGGCCCCCCTGCATTGGGAGCTCAGAGTCTTATCCCCTGTGCCACCAGGGGAGCCCCCGAACTTGAATTTTATTTATTTATTTATTTTTTTGCTGTACACAAAAACCCTATGACCAGGGTGTTAAAGGACAGGAGTCAAAGCCTTCTTAGCCACTCCAGTGCTTCTTGAAATCCTGTTCTTCCTAACTGTTGCTGGCCCAGTACACCTTCAGGGAGTGTTTCTGATGAGTAAGTAAAGTAGTTCCAATGTATGTACTTTAACATTGGGATGTGAAGAATCTCTTCTCCCAAACTGATCAATCCAGTCATATTAACTATTGTGTATTTCAGACTTAAACCGTTGGATATTGAGTTTATGAAGCGTTTGCATGAAAAAGTGAATATCATTCCACTTATTGCCAAAGCAGACACACTCACACCAGAGGAGTGCCAGCAGTTTAAGAAACAGGTAAGTAGAATGAGTTTGAACTCTTGGGTTTCTAATATCTTTCATGTAATTTGCAGTTTTTCGTATTTTCAGTATAATGTGTTACAGTGTATTCCTCTTGCTACTTTACTATATGGTTGTTTACACTGTATTAAAAATAACTCTTGAAAACAGTCTTCTGCTTTAGTTTTCTCCTAGGAGCCCATAAGTATTATCATATGCCCTTATCCTTTCAACTTAAATAGGCTATTTTAGATGTTTCCGTATAGCTTCCACCAGCACCCCTCCCACACTCTTTAGAATTACTTTCCTAGACTGAATTCCCAGGAACAGGATTGCTTTTTGAAAGGGTATGATTATTTTATCTCCCTCCCCCACCTACCCATTTTGTCATGGTGCTTTCCCAATAAAACAATCAAATTCGTTTTATAACGGGTATATTTGTTCCAATGTCTTGCCAGCATTGTTTGTCATTTTTATTTTTAAAACTTTTTTGGAATAAAGTGGTACCTAATTTGATTTAATTTAATTTCCAGAAAAGCTAAACACTTTAAAGCAGGGGTTTATTTTTCCCTCATTGTTGTGTTTGGTTTATTATATATTATATTTTATGAAATGTAGGGTCAGTTTCTGGAACTATTATACTTTCCTATTCCACTTTCCTATTCCAATTTCCTATTATTAAGTTTTAGGCCAGTTTTATTTCTTTTAAACTGCGGCTATGTTGTGTAATATTTTTAAATAGATCTTAGAGTTAATTATCTCTTATTGTCCTTATAGTCCCCTTTGTAACAAGATACTTTGGTTCTTCACCTTTTTCAGTATGACTTTTAGAATAACTTGAAACCTATTACAAAAACAAAAGCCTGTGGAAATTTGCTTCGAAATTGTGTTAAATCTGTATAAATTTTGATAATGTTTTAGTGTGTCATTTTTACTGCATATATCTGGTATTTCTACCAGGAGTATATGTTTTTATTTTATGCTTATTCACTCCATTTTTATTTTGTAATGTGCTGTTTCTAAGTTCAAATACTAATCATATAATAACATTTCTCCTCTTCTGTCTTGATTTGTATGTACCTTGATTTGTATTTGTTCTAAGAACTAAGAGATAAAGACGAATAAGCAATGATCTCTACTTCCGGATTGGTCACATTGTAGGGTTGTACAATTTTCTTTTTATTCATTTATGCTTTTAAAAAACTTTTTTTAATATAAATTTATTTATTTATTTACTTTTGTTGGGTCTTCGTTGCTGCACACGGGCTTTCTCTAGTTGCGGCAAGTGGGGGCTACTCTTTTTTTTTTTTGCGGTATGCAGGCCCCTCACTGCCGTGGCCTCTCCCGCTGTGGAGCACAGGCTCTGGACTCACAGGCCCAGCGGCCACAGCTCACGGGCCTAGCCGCTCCACGGCATGTGGGATCTTCCTGGACTGGGGCACGAACCCATGT